CCTTATTTGCCAGACTGATTTGGCATTACTAATTTGGTATGGGAAGTGATTTTAGTCACCTTTACAATATTTTTACCATAAATATGACAATCACACCAAGGACAGTCCCCAGGTTTAGAAAATTTTAAATGGGCCCCAAAATACAATACATAAGGACCTTGTCTTGACATATTTTTCAAAATGGCTTCTTTTACATGACATCATAAACTTCTGAGAAGAGGAAGTGCTATAATAAAATTAAGTTGAAAATCATATAATTATCCCCTGTTATTTTCCCATCCAAAGAAATGATTGTCTTAGGTCACCTGCCAAAACATACATAGTTCTCTGCACCCAGACTCTAGTGTCTGTTATCCAGATATCCCAAGGGATTTATACATGCCATTTTTGACATCTGCAATTAATTACTGCAAAATAGGCCAGGGATTTTTAGCATTAAAACCATGTTTTTGTGTATTGTTGGGATAATTGTGGTTTATACTAATAACAAGTTACCGACCTCTCACATCACTTCTCAACTTCATTCAATGGAATAATGAACTACAAGGGCAAAATCAACTTTCCTCTGGATATTTGACAAAACAGTCCTAGGATCTAACATCACTTCTAATGAAGCATAACAATCACCCATTGAGATATGATATAATTCCCATGACTATTATAACAGTACAAAACAATTAGCATCACATAGTATTTAACATTTTAATGTGTTTGATTTAAGTTATTGTGTATTTAAACATAGTTAAATGGGCTATTCTAGCAATTCTTTTTTTATTTGCCCCGGGTGCCTTGATATTTGGTTACTATAGCAATCATTTATCATTTAGAGAGGTATTATCAGATATTATGATCAACCCTCATATATAGAGGTTATACCTAGGTTATACCTAGGAAGGGATTGCATATTGGGTTTATCGAGATATCTTTGATATCTTCCTGAGGCAGCGGAGGGCAGATATCATATCATCCCGAAGGATAAGCCCAATATATATTCTCACCTGGGGGACGACCTTTTTATACCATGATAATTCATGAACACAGGAACTACACTGGACGGAATTACAACAAGAACACAAATGTGTACAAAATGTCCCCACCTATGGGTGATCCCGTCAAATGGTTATCCTAAAAATGAGTAGACAAGACTTTACTGACACAATTTGAGGACGGAAAATCCAAAATGGCCACCTTAAAATTTACCCAGAATGCCAAAAAATTAGTCAGTTGTAGATTTTCATACTAAGAACCATCCCTGAAAATTTGAAATTGATCTACCAAACAGTTCACCTGGAAATGAGTAGACAAGACTTTACTGACACAATTTGAGGACGGAAAATCCAAAGTGGCCACCTTAAAAGGACGAGTGTCTTTAAGACCCTATATTAGCCCCCAAGATATTTGTACAGGATATCAAAGAGACTTTGTTTGATAACCAGATCCCAAAATTAGGTAATTCTGACCTTTATATTTCAAAATATAGGTCATTCTATTAACGTGTATAAAATTACTTTTTCAAGGAAAATCACTTTTTTCACATCATTATTGTCACTGTTTCTATTTATTATCAAAATAATCATTATTTTCAGTCATTTAAGACTTTTTAATTGATCTTCATGGTATTATCTTACATAATAGTGACAAAGCATAATGGGCAACATTCGAAAACATATAAAATATAACAAGTCAAAAAGGCAAACAAAATATTGAATAGTGATCATCTCTATACTTCATTGAGATCAATTGTCTACACAAAACTAGGTCAGAAAAGAATATTGAGTTTTTTTTAATTTACATCACAATGGGAAAGAACAAGGGGCAACATTAGAAAACACATGAACTTATTAACAATTCCAAAATGCATACCAATCAATTATATATTGATCTGCTTCCTTGAGATCAATTGCTCATATACAGTTTGTTTTAAAGTGACAGTAAAATACTGAATTTATTATTTCACATCACAGTGAGGAAGCACAAAGAGCAACATTTGAAAACACATAAAATATAACAATTTCTTAAACGTTACTCTGGACTTTACATAACTGTTGATGAGCACAGTTTGGTCATTATAATAAGAGATTCTATGAGCTATCATCATCTTCTTCAGATGACAACATTTCAGACATATCTTTTGATTTTAAAATGTCAGACATATCTTTTGATTTTAAAATGTCAAACTTTGTGCATTTCTTTTTGCTTCATACCCCTTTTTGCCTTCAACCCTACTCCCAACTTGGCATGTAGAACACCATCCAGTGATTGCCTCAATACTATACATACAACTGGATCTGGGTTGTACTCCACCCATGTAAAATGAGATTTAGAGAACACAAACCGATTACTGGCCTTTTACACAAATTAAGCCATATGTTTCTTTTTTAAGAATGATGGTATATTGTGTATTTTGAACTGTGATAATATAAAAAATTATTCATTGACAAAAATGATGCCTGTCACATGAAGATAAAATGATTGTACAACAATCATCTCATATGAATGAATGTATTGAAAGGAATTGCATATTATTATGTTACTTAGAGCCATGGTAAAGATATATGCTTCTCAAGAGGTCATGCTCCAGTGCAAGCATACATATTAGTTCATGAAAAGATCATATGAATAAAGAAAATATACTCAAATACATAAAACACAACTGTCACAATCATTCTAAGGATTTTCAAAATGGCTGACATCATTTTATTTCATGCTGAAAATTGCAGAAAAGTTCCATTTTTGCATAACGCCTGGTCCTTACCTAGATTTTTACATATCTCAAGAAGTACCTTAGAAGTACACTATTCCCTAATACATATAACTTTCTAGGTAAGAACCTACCCTGCGTGCAGAGTCTAGTTAAACTACACTCTGCCTAGTAGAGACCATATTACAGTTTAGTGGCCCCGCCCCCACGACGGGTACCGGTGACAGTTTGGGTAATAAATCACTTTTGACTTACGCGCTGACCTTTCTTCCACCAATCGGCGAGCTTTAAGAAACATACGCCAAATGCGTTCTAAATAAATATGCGCATGTCATTGGTCAATTTCGGGCTCAACGATGCCGTCAGAAGGAATAACCATATATAGAACGTCGGTCAAATTTGGCCGACGAACACTGATTGGCGCGGTGAGTTCACAGGTTTATTTTAGTTTGAAAGAGTGAAGACGAAGCTCTCTTTTAAGAAGTGAAGTCAAACGAATGCAAAGGGTAGTAAGAACCAGGCATTATATGAACAAAGCAAGAGTTTATCATGACCTTCCTCTCTCTAAAAATTAGTAGGTCAACACAATTGCAAACATAACTAATCCCTACTCAATGACTTTTGATATATGACTATTTATTATACAAAATATTAATCCAATTAGTGTATAGAGTGAAACAATCAAACATGGGACATCTGCCAAGTTGGGTTTAAACATTCAAGAGACATTTTCTGAGACTGATAAAAAATTCACATTTTCACAGGAAGTGATACATACCTCCCAAATCAACCAAAATATACTTATATCAGTAATCTTGAATGCTTTTTATTGTTATTTCTCGAAAATATACATATTTATCTACAATTTGATCTTACATATTAAGGATATTAATGACATTGCATTTTTCAAAAAATGTTAAGTGACCCCAGGGGTGTCTATAGCCATTCGTTCTTTACCCAGAATGCCAAAAAATTAGTCAGTTCTCGATTTTCATACTAAGAACCACCACCTGAAAATTTGAAATTGATCCGTCACACAGTTAACCAGAAAACATGTAAACAAGACTTTACAGACAAGATTTGAGGACAGAAAATCCAAAATGGCTGCCTTGACATTTATCCAGAATGCCAAAAAACTAATCTGTTCTAGATTTTCATACTAAGAATCATCCAGTAACAGAAAAAAATTGTCATTTAACATATGTATAATTAAACTTTTGGAGGGGAGTGTTCCTATCACAACTGTTTCCAAACTTTTGGAAGGGAGTGTACCTATTACAATTGTTTCCTAATGTCTGAGGGGAGCATACCACATTACATTTTTTCCAAACATTTGGAAGGAAGTATACCTACTACAACAGTTTCCAAACATTTGGAAGGGAGTGTACCTACCTATTACCACTTTATCCAAACATTTGGAGGGGAGAACCTATTACAAAATTGTTTCTTAATACTTGGAGGGGAGCGTGAGAATGATAGCACCAGAGACTGGTGCAATCATGTTTGGACATGAGAGAGACCGGTGGCATGCAAGAGCACCGACTCTCATTATATATTCAAAGTCAGCTAGTCAAGATATTCAATAGATTCAAGCCTGAATTCAATCAGCGAACAAGGCATAATTAAATAAGCAAACAATTATAAGTAAATTGAAGACATCTAAAGATGCAGAACTGTGGTGTATACATGTATGTATGTATGTTCAACATTTGTTTTCTTTAGGCGTTGAAGCTTCATGCTCTACATATGTCACAGCAAATTCAAACCAGGATTTCAGAGTCCCAGGGCAAAAATGGGTCCCCCTCAAATATTCAAAATTTTGGCGAAAATGAGAAGATATGGTGGTTGTCAATGTATGGAAGAAGATACATGATGGAACACAAATGTATAATCAACCAAATATCATAAACTCTAAATTTCAAAGACAAGAGTAAATGCTTCTGCTAATACTACAGTTCTGCATCCTTCATTTCCCTGTTAAAGTTCTCACTTATTCACATAAACACAAAGCAGATAATGGGAGCATACATATGGGTTAGAAAATATATATCACTGTATGGTGCAAAAATCATAATCTTTCATTCTCTAAGCCACACACAGTGATAAGGGTACCCTAAGGTGGCCCAAATGCATCTTCAGAAAAAGACCAACGTTTTAGTTTTTTACAGTGAATTATTCAACACATTCTGCATGATTATCTGTCATATACTGTATGTGTATATATAAAGTTAACTTCATAGCTCTGACATTATGTTTGGGGAGGGCTTCAATATTTGTAAACAAGAAAAATTCAACTTACCAAAAATTCACAAGATTTTGAATTGTGAACTGATGCTGATCATTGTATTGTCAGTGCTAGTGTTACATCTCTGTATAATAAGTATTCTACTACACCTGGATAACAAGGAAAACAATTTTTGTAATTATACAATGACATATTTCATCTCTGAAAGGTGTGTTTCAAATTAGGCTAAAATGAAATAAAAATTTTCGTCACATTTTTTTATTTTTTGTCTAAAAACAAAGGATTATATATCACAGATTACTGTTAAAATAAGTGTCCACAATGTATGATAATTGTCCTGGATGTGCCTCGTTACAAAGAGTTCGAACTTACCACATATCGATATCAAAACGAAAAACGATTCATGAGTTCTACGTGAAAGTAAATGGATAATTTTTTATGGAATTTCACACATCATGGCGGACTTCCTTGCAAATCTGTTGCATTGTGGGAAATGGATCTGTAATAATTTTGCGATTTACATTCTATTTATGACTTCGTTTGGATGTTTTACAGACGAAATTTTGAAATGCACATTATTTGTAATATTATGCATCTAAAAGTAAGCCTAAATCAAAATTTAACTTGTAATAGTTATAGGAAATCTCAAATATACTTCAACTAATATAGAATCCGCCGCTATGAACAAGTGGTTCTGTGGTGTAGTGGTTATCACGTCCGCCTCACACGCGGAAGGTCCCGGGTTCGACCCCCGGCAGAACCTGTTTTGCTACAACCATTTGTTTTGTAATAGTTCCGTGCTGAATTGCGCTGCTCATTAATATATTAGTTAGTACTCTAAAATTTTGGTTTCACTTGGAAAAGTTACCAACTGATTCATATTCATTCATTTTTAGTAAACACGAGGAAGACTCACATGAATCAGGGCATTGGAGCTTCTTTTCATTTATCACTCGGATTTTGTCAATATCCAATAAAAATATTGATATACAAAAATTCGATACATGTGATCTAGTCAAATTGATAATTTAATTAAATCTACAATGACAAATTTAGAAAAAGAATACAAAAGCGTGTTTATGCAAGACATCAATAGACAAAATGATGCTCCAGGTAAATTCAGAAGCTATAAACTAGTAAAACATGCATATAAAAGAGAAAGTTATCTTAATTTACAGAACTCCACCTATAGACAATCTATTTCTAAGGTACGGTTATCGATGCATAACTTCCCAATTGAACGAGTTCGATATTTCAAAGTAGAAAAATCGAAACGATTTTGTTTCTTTTGTAATTCCAAAAATAGTATGAAGAACACGTTCTTTTTTGTTGTTCTCAATCAGAACTAAAACTAGCTCGATCTCAATATCTCAGTAAAATAAAAAGTATAAACAATAGTTTTTCTCATTTTAATACAAGTAGTCTATTTTTATACTCCCTGTTAGCGCACGATGATGCAATTAATGAAATAATTGGTGATTATTTTACAAGAGTTCACAATATTACCAAAGAGTTGTTAAACAAAACTGATGTGAAATCATTTTATGCCATTTAGTAAAGTACTTAGTGATTGTTAAAATTAGATTGTAAGAATTGTTTTGCCATGCATGTAAATGAATGTTTTATTTGTTATTTGCTTTATTGGACTTAGCTTATATCTCGATGTACATTACATGTTCAAGAGACCAATAAACTTATTAATGATAATTATTTGTCTCGGGTTTGTCAACTCAACTCAACTCAACAAAGGAAGATTTATTTTTTCGAGAGAAAATTTACAACTGTTTCCAAATGAATAGGCGCAGTGCATGGCAAAATATGTTAGGTCTTCTAGTATTTTTTTCAACTGGAACGCTTCTAAGCTATGAGATCTATTAATAAAGGCGCATCATCACTAACGTGCAAAAGTCAATGTTTTTTGCTATAAATCAGACAACAATGGTCTACACGACCTGTAATAAATAGGTTTAAGGGACGTTATTATCACAACACTTATGACAATGACATTGTATTAATTGTCCCGGTGTAAAAGGGTAGGTGGTCCTATCAAATTTTGGTCCTACTCCCTATTAATTTATATGGTGACCTAATTACAATCATTTTCCTTATTATTTATACACAGTCAGGGCCAGTAAGGGCCGTGAGGAAAGTGGACCATAATCCCCAGGGGACCATAATTTATTTTACATCGGGTTTGGCATATTTTTGTTTATGTATTGTTTACACGTCCGACGATCGCATGGGCAGGCAATTTTCAAAAGATAAATTTCTTCAAGAAAAAGTTTACTATACAGGGTGTCCCAGAAGTAATGATAATTATGCTCTTAAATTTTTATTTGACAATATCACTTTAATCTGATATTATGACATCACATGATAATGTCATATAGGGTTTCACAAAAGGAAAACTCTTAGGAACACAACCTAGGAATTTCCAGGGAGGTGTACATTATGCCACCAACGTTGAGCAAAGATGAAAAATTAGAGCAGAGAGCAGTCATAAAATTCCTTCAGAAGACAGGGGGTAAACCCAGTGACACTATAAAGGAGTTTAAACAAGCATATGGTGAGAGAAGACTGTCCAACCCCACTGTGTATAGGTGGCATAAAGAGGCACAATTGCGCCGCTCGGTTCAGTTGGCTCTGCAGGATATGTCCAACAGTGGTTTTGATCATGTCTTCCAATCCTGGCTGGAAAGGCACAGACAAATTGTCTCCAGCAAAGGACAGTTTGTGGATAAGTGAATCAACGATGTACAATGCTCTTAAGGAATATCAGGAATGAAGTAGCAGCATTACAGTAGTGATGTGAACAGCAGGGAAACATATGAACATGAAATGTTTTTCAAAAATGTATGAAAAACACACAGCTGCTCCGCAGAACGCGCGTACATGTTGCTATGGCAACTATACATTGAATATATTTGTGTAAAGTAATAAATGTAATATAGTAAAATGAAGCTAACATCTTGATCTTTAATTTGTGTGAATTTCATATTGTTTCCATATCACATAAAAATTTTAGAGCATAATTATCATTACTTCTGGGACACCCTGTATATACAGATCCGGAGCCAGATCAAAAATTATGACCAGGAAGTTCATCCATTTTGTTACATCTGACGTTCCACATTCTGGTAAGTTACTTTACATCGTGATATGAAAACGCATTACATCGTGTGTTCAGTATTTCTCAGCTGTCGTGAACGTCTATCTGGTAAAAACTACATTTAATATGAAAAAATAGCTTTCCAATGGTGTGCCTTAATTGTTAGTTACTTTAGATAATGACAAAAGAACGCATGTAACTTTGTTTAGTAATCAGTGTGTATAACAATAACAAATCATGTTTAATAGAAACGTTAGATTGGCAGGTCAGGAACCTAGGTGTTTGCTTGCATTTCGTTTTAACTTTTTTAACTCCATTGAAAAGAACAAAATGAGTAAAAGAAACGTTGCCTACCATTGCCATGTATTCAAAATCATATATAAATAATTAAAGGCAACAAAAACGGTCGGTCTTTTACGCATAATAGGGAGTATAAGCTTGCATATAAAATCGAAACGCCAACCTATACGTGTGACCAATCGCCCATACAAATGCATCGCTTAAATATTTTTTCGTTCACGTTTAGATTGTGAAAAACATTGCAAGCTTAAACTCCCTAATATGGTGGTCTTTTATACATTTTCCTCAAACCCTGTTTTGAGGCTACCTATTGAAAACAACGACCGGTCAGTGGTCTATGGAGTCGGTCTTTTTCGTAAATTTTTTGTAAAGGTATTGGACTTAAGGTCTGTTCAAGGTGAAGCACTGATAGTAAAATACATATAAGTACATTGAACATTAATTTTCAGACTAGTTAAACACTTATCTTGTAACACACGGTCCCACGGTGTCCAACCCAAACGCTCTTACATGCACCACGGGGCGTTTTATAACTGAAACTAAACAAAGAAACGCTCCGGAGTAGGAAAAATGGCGGACGGGAATGATGAGCCGTCTGGCGATTTCCCAAATAATGGGAATAAGGAGTATGTGTTACTTATTTCAAGTATACCATTCAATGGGTGTGATATTCATGTTGTCCTTGGCTGGCTGTTGACGTTTGAAGCTATTAGGAAAAGCTGTACGAAGCAGTATAGTATAAACTTGTCATTCTACTGGTCAAAACCCCCTTTGTCGAGACATGTGATTAGTTAAGTCAAGATTAAAGTATCAGAGTATATATTGGTCAAATTTCAAAGCTTCAACGCACCATACAAATATCGTATTTTTATTTTGATGACCGAAAATCCAGTCTTAAAAATGATTACATTCTCATATTCAGGAAACGCTGGGATCTGGTTAACACAGTGAACTCGAAACACTGCGGTACTAGTCGAGATATAGCTTGACTTTCCTTTTCAGGAAGAGAAAGAAAATATCTATTATAACCCTTGGCATCAAAAGAAGAAAGATTAATTCACAAATAAACTTTTTGTTTTTTTGTCAATAGTTTTATGTTTTAGCACACATAACAAACACATAGGCATAACATCATCTAATGTAGGCTTGTGTCGGCTTGTTGCACGTGTAGCCACTGGTGATCCACTCGATTACGCTGGTTACCAAAACGAATCGTTTTGGTAACAAAATGTCGGAACGTCGAAGGTACGATTTTTCTTTTTTCCTTATATCATGCGTTTTAGGCAGAATTCCCACGATGTTTTTAACACAAACGTGTATCAGTATCATATGCTTAAGAAAATGTACATATTTGCGAACAAATAGTTCAGAAGACAACAGCATCGTCGATTTAATTACTCACTTAAGTTACATAAACGGTTTTTCGAAAAACGGTTAGATCTGCACTTTTAACCCAAACCGTTTATGTAACTTAAGTGACGAATTAAATCGACGATTCTGTTGTCTTCTGAGCTATTTTTTTGCAAACATGTACATTTTCTATAACATATGATACTGATATACGTTTGTGAGAAAAAAAGTCGTGGGGATTCTGCCTACAACGCGTGATATAAGTAAAAAAGAAAAATCGTACCTTCGACGTTCCGACATTTTGTTACCAAAACGATTCAAGTAAACGATTCAACGAAATCAAATAATTGATTTGGACTGGGATTTTAGCAAATGAGAATATACGAGTTTGTGATCTACTACTTTGACAGAAAGATTGACGTCTTCATATGAATACTAGTTTAATTCTTAATTTGTGGTCAATTAGTCATCTTCAGATTCGTAAGAGCGTTTGGGTTGGACACCGTGTAACAGTTGCTTAACAGTTAATATCTTTTGGGAGCTAGTATAGAAAGTCATCATTTTATCTCTGAGAAACATTCATATTTGGAAATAAAGCGAGTAAAGAGAGACGCCCGCTTTGTAATTGTTGCAAAAGTAAGTACTTTAGAGTTAATGATATCATTTGCAAACTAGAATTTCTATGCTAAATAAGTTTTAAGATACACTTGCACTGTGGAGGAATTCGTAAAGCGACTTACGTAAACAGATCGTAACAAAATGGCGCAAACGATTTCGATACGTTTTTGTTTTTTCCACGATTTCACGAGATATAAGCAAAATCACCACTATCTTTTTTGCACAAACGTGTATCAGAGTTTTATGTTTCAGAAAATCCAAGGTTTTGCGATCGTATTTCCTTGTAAGACTGCAAAATCATCCTCACTTAAGTTACCTAAATGAATGGGCTAAAAAGTGCAGCAATTACGAAAACGATGAAAATTATGTTGTTAACGAGATTTTAGCATGATGCGTCTGTAGTTAAGTCATGTTTACACGCATAGTTGATGAAGTTGGCAGCACAAATGTTAATTAATATAGTATTCAGAATTTGTTATAACGTTCACTTGCAGTTCACAATCGTTAAATAGAGCCACCATATTAGTTTCGAAAGTGCGAACAGTGCAATATTCAACTTTGACCTACCTGGCCCTCCTAATGTAAAACTAGAAAAATAGCAACTGTACGGAGAAGCCAATCCAAATTATCAATTGTCAAATTATGATTATATTCATTTTGCAAAGATAACTTTAAGAAAAATGGCGATATCCTTCTAATTGATATCGTAATTATTGATAATAAGGTGACTTATGTTGGAAACATTTTAGACAAGAAATTAACCTCCAAACCTAATACAACAGATGCATGTGTTAAGACTAGGAAAATAACTCTCTGTGTGGTATCGGAATGTATAAATACGGTCTTAACCCTATCACAAGTTCTAACATTTGGAAGCGTTTTATAATGCCTTCAGCATTCTATGGTGCCGACTTATGGTACGACATATCAAAAACAGAAATGAATGAAATGGAAATTGCTCAAAAATACGTTGTGAAGCGCTTTCAAGGGTTTGAAAAGAGAACACCTGCAGTGGCGTAGCCAGCAATTGGTGACTAGGGGTTCGATTTTTTATGTATCCACAAATCTCCCCCTTCATCGGTGTACCTCACATAAAAGCATTATTTGTATTTGTCATACATACAATTTACACCCCTCCAAAAGTTTGGCAACAATTTGATTTTCTATATTGAAATAGTTTTTGGTGAATCTTTTACTGAAAGATATTGAAATCTGGTAGCAAAATCATACATTTCATATAACAATTGTTTAATTGTTCGATGAAATCAAGGGTTAGCATACATTGAGACAACTTTTGTAAAGGGCAAATTACAACATATCTCTGAGGAACATATTTTTTAACGAGCTACCATTGAAAAATCGTCATTCCCAATTCATCATTCAAAGATATGTCAAATTCTGGGATGCTATTCCCACACTTTTAGATGATTTTTGAAAAGAATCCAAATCAAAAGAATTTTATCTGCCATTTCATTTTGTAATAGAGGAGTTCATAATGACCTCATGAACTTACAGTTAGTTTCTGAATACTAGTATATTCAAAAGCAAATATCTTTGAAGAATGTAATACTTATTTAATCATGGCGCACAATAAAAGTCGTAATGGCTGCACGAATACTCTCAATTGGTACTGACGATATAAGTGACAGATGACAAATAGTATCATGAGTATTGTATTAATGGAATGAAACATATAAGTCAGCAGCTGAGCAAAATATTAAAAAACTTTTTGTGCCCTAAGTTTCTCACTGGATTCTTATAGAGCAAGGTCTTGGGGTTATTTTGAGCTTAGGTTCTTCATCCTAGCCCCGGCAACGAATGTGAAAATTGGTCCTAAAGGTGGCGCCACCTACAATTTAACCCCAAATTTAAAATTAATTTTTATATTCATAACTGAAACAAAAGGACACCTTTGATAGCTTACATTGATCAATGGTACATTAAATTATAAATTGAAATTTTTTTCAATGTGTAAAAATGATAGTTTAAAGAGAAATAACTGATTAACCCCCTAAAACGCCCCTGATTTTAAAGGGGGTACTTATATTATCTTCCGTAACTTTTGTTTCCTTCATGATATGGGATTGAAAATATTACTGAATGTGCATACCTAAGATTATGGGAGACTGCAGAAATCCTATGCCCATAGCTTTATCACTTTTTAAGAAAAAAAATAAAACGTATTTGCAAATAATTTGGTTTCAAATTATTTTCATCTATACTTTTTTATTTATTTTTCCACTTCTTGATCACTATGCATATATTAATATTTTAATTTCATTTCTAGACCAACATAGATGAAACAGAATGCAGATCTTATAAATGAATGGTAAAATAGAATGTTTAAGGAGAAATATTTAACTAACCCCTAAAACACCCCCATTTTAAAGGGGATATTTACATTATCTTCCGTAACTTTTGTATTATTCAACATTTAAGCTTGAAAATATTCCTGAATATGCACACCTATGTTTTTGGGAGACTGTGGTTATCCTATGCCTTCAGCTTTACCACTTTTTGAGAAAAAATAAAAATATTTACATATAATTCGGTTTCATATCATTTCCAGATATACTATCACCTATACTTTATAATTTATTTTTCCGCTTCTTATCATCATACGTATATTCATATTTTACTTTCATTAGACCAACATAGATGAAGTTGACTAAAGTCATATAAAAATCATATAATAATAAAATAAAAGGGAGAAATAATTGATCAACCCCCTAAAACACCCCTTATTTTAAAGGGGATATTTATATTATCTTCTGTCACCTTCGCTTCAATTGAGATTTTGGCTTGAAAATATGATTTCACAAAATCAAACAACTTATCTTACAATGATGATCTCATGAAGAAGCCAATGAAACCAGAGCTTACTGCTAAGTTAGAAAAACATCTTAAGCCAAGTGATTACTTCACCCCTAGACTTCACTCCCTGGACATTTTACCAAAAGGGAGACTATATGTTTATACATGTATAATGTCATAGGTTTTGTTGAATCTTTAATTTCTTCTCTAAAGCCCCGCATACACAAATGGGGCAAAATCCTACTTGCCCCATTGAGTCCAATCTTGCCCCATCGGATCCCAACTTGCCCCATCGAATCCCACGAAGTCCCATGGGACCTTGATAACTTTGCCCCATCGTCCCCTATGGAGTCTTATCGAGCCCCTTGGAGTCCCATCAAATCCCACCATGCCCCATCGGTGAATGTTTGGCTTCACTCAACACGTCATATGATTGAAAATCTTACGATGCCCCATGGAAAGAATGAACATGTTCGATGGGGCTCGTAGAGGTTAAATATCTAGGTTTAAGGTGTCAAAGGGGTGAAATAATTAGAGGATGAAATGTATAATTATAATGTATGAAAAGTCTAGGGGTGAAATGTCTGAGAGGTGAAACATCTAGGAGTGAAATGTATAGGTGTAAAAAGTCTAAGGTCTAAGGTGAAACATCTAGGGAGGAAATGTCTGTGGGGTAAATGCCAAGGGGATGAAATGTAGAAGGAGTGAAATGTATAGGGGATAAAATATTCAGGGGGAGAAATGTCTAAGGGGCAAAACACATAGGGGTGAAATCTCCTATGGGTAAAATGTCTAAGGGGTGAAACATCTAGGGGTGAAATGTCTATAGGATGAAATGTTCACTAATGTCAAGGGGATGAAATGGTGAGACATCTAGGCCCAGGGTGAAATATATAAGGGGTGAAATGTCCAAGAGGTCACCCCTGGACTTTTCATCCCTTAGACATTTCACCCCTAGAGATATCAGCCCTAAAACCTTATACCCCTAAGATGTTATACCCCTAGATATTTCACATCCTGGTCCCTTCATCCCCATATATATGTACATGCATATTATCAAAGGTCGTGTCATTAGAGAATTTTAATTTAATTTTAATTTACATGAAAGTATTTAATTTCCTCTCTAAGTAACATTAAATAAATTGAGGGTGAAATTCCAAGAAGTTTAAAGTCTAATGGGTGAAATGTCAAAGGGGTGTTTTATCAAGGGGTGAAATGTCTTGAAGTGAAACATCTAGGGGTGAAATCTCCAGGGGTGAATTGTTTAAGGGGCAAAACAACTAAGGGGTGAAGTGTATAAGGGATGAAAAGTAAAATAACCAAGGGGAAAGGATCTAGAAATATATACATATTTATACCATACTAGTGTTATAGGTAAATAACATGCGGGAATATAATTGATATCTGAGGTTAGCGGGTGATATTTATATCTCCCGCTCACCTCAGCGGGAGATATATATCACCCGCTCAACGATTCCCGTGAATTTCATTTTATAGCTGTGGAGTTTTAAAAAACAATAAATGTTAAGAACTTTACTTTGAGATAAGATACATTCATGTATTCATGTTCTGGTTGTAGTTTGCAATTTGTAATTATTACACTCGGGTTCCATAATTGTATTTTGAGGAATATCATTTTTATCTACGAGGTGATATTGATATCTACACGAGAGAGCAAAGCGAACGAGTGCATATATTAATATCACCGAGTATATTAAAATGATATTCTGAAAAAAATCATAGGATGTTCTTATTATCCTACACTTACAAGGAGTGTACCAAATGTATAATATCATTGCAAAATGAATGTCATGCCAAATAGAGTCAATTTGGCGGGAAATCAACAAGCGGAGTATATCGTCACAATATCCTCCGCATATTGGGTTTTCCAAAGTATATCGTCACGATATCCTCCGCCCGGTGTATATCATCACGATATCCCTCGGTTATTCATTTTGCCAATAAATATCAAATTTATTTTTTAAGGTTATTATACATTTAGTACACTAAGTGTAGGATAATATTCAATACATACTAAATAATCTACTAATCTTCATAATCTACTCAGTAAAGGATAAATCAGTTATTAAATGCTCGATTTTTGATACGGGGTATATCCCTCGGTAAATACAATATATCTACCCTAGGGACCGATATATATATATATATATAGATTATCCTATATGAGGTTCAGGATATTGGGATTATCCCGAGGCTAATAAAATATATTTGCCCGAGGGCCGCAGGTCCCGAGGGAAAATATATTATATTGGCCAAGGGATAATCTCAATATCCTGAACCGACTATAGGATAATATATTTATCCCATACCAATCTTGGTCATCTGGTTCACATTGTTCAATCGAGTAAATATTATAGAATATTCATGTCCAGTTTTGTTTTCTTGGCCGTGGGTGGATTTTCCTGTTCTCTCAAATATTCCCACATTTATTTTCTCGAATTTTTGACGTACCTGTAACACGTCCAAGTATGGGATTAATATATATATAAATATATTGTATTTCCCTCAGATATACTCTGTATCAAAAACCTCCCATTAAATTACCTCTATATATGTATTTGTACCAAAAATTCTTTTAAAATCTTGCAGTTTTTCACCATTCTGAGAACTTTTCAAGTGATTTTGGGCCAAAGTTGTGAAATGTGAACCACCCTGGAGCGAACCTCTCCTTGGCAAAAGCCAATTATGGGCCTGACTTCGGGATGTATTCAAGGTAGTCAACCTTAGCATACATAAATGCACAGTTGCTGCCTGAAGACCCCTCATAGTACACATTCTTGAAGTTATCCTTGAAGTGTGTCGCTTAAGGGAGGTGTTAACTGCAGAGATGCTGGGGGAATATTCCTCTCAGATGCACTATACACATTGTGAAGTCATAGCTCTTTGTTAGTTAAAACATAATACAAACTGACAACATCAAAATTTGACCATATCAAGAGCTTTTATTCATCAAAAGGTGATTTTTTGATGTACAAGGGCCGATCAAAAAGTTTCTTACCGTTGGCTCTCAATTTTATAATAAGAGGAGTTGGAAGCTCAAACTTTAACATTAGCCAGGATAACTAGTTTGCTTGAAACTGTACGAGTTTCATATAAATTGGTTCATTGGTAGTGACACAGAGTCAGTTCGTATTTTCAATGACAAAGTTAGGTGGAGCAGCGTTATATATAAAATATCTGCTGAGTTGTGGTTCTGGAAATTTACCGCCATCGTTTCAAACCTCTCATACGAAGGCCTTAAACATGTGTTTTTGGATCGAGTGGACAGATATAGGAACTGTATTGCAACTGGGGTTGAATATTTTGAATGAGAATGAATATTAGCAGAAAAACTAATTAAACATGATTAAACTACGGTCTGTTGACAGACGACAATACTTAGTGTTAGAAATTTCCAAAACTGCAGCTTAGCACAGTTTTTTATAAAAAAAACGCCGCTCCACCTAATTCAATCATTGAAAATACGAATTGACTCTGTGTCACTACCAATGAACCAATTTAAATGAAACTCAGACAGTCTCAAGCAAACTTACCACCCTGTCTTATGTAAAAGTTTGAGCATCCAACTCCTCTTATTATAAAATCTAGAGCCAACGGTAAGAAACATTTTGATCGGCCCTTGTACATGTATAACAATGATTCACCATGTAAACCCTCAAGGTTGCCTCGCATACCCATGGCACTGGTTGCCATAGTTACAATTACTTTGTCAAAACTTTGTTGATTGTCAGGAAATTTTTATAAAATAATGTCAGATATACTAGTATGTTCCTTATGTTGTGAAAGTTTCATGAAGAAAAAAGGCAAGATAACAAAAGTTCCAGCATAATTAGCGATACTTATTGAACATGTACATGTATATCTGAAAATGATATGAAATCGAGTTACATGCAAATACTTTTTTCTTAAAAAGTGATAAAGCTATATAGGCATAGGATTACTACAGTCTCCCAAAAACATAGGTGTGCATATTCAATAATATTTTCAAGCTCAAACTTGAAAGACACAAAAGTGAAAATAACGTTGTATCCCTTTAAAATTAAGTGTTTTAAGGGGTTAATTAATAAATTGTTTTAAATTTTATTTTATTACTATTTATTTTATAAAAACTGCATTCTGTTTTATCTATGTTGGTCTAGAAATGAAAGAAAAATATTAATAGATGCATAGTGATTAAGAGGTGGAAAATAAATAAAAAAGTGTAGATGATAGTATATCTGAAAATGAAATGAAACTGAATTATTTGCAAATATGTTTTTTTCCTTAAAAAGTGATAAAGCTAAGGGCATAGAATTACATAGAATTACTACAGTCTCCGACAGACATAGTTGTGCATATTCAAGAATATTTTCAAGCCCAAATCTTGAATAAAACAAAAGTTATGGAAGATAACATAAGTACCCCCTTTAAAATTGGGAGCATTTTAGGGGGTTAATCAGTTATTTCTCTCTAAACTATCATTTACACATAGAAAAAAAATTCATTTTATAATTTAATGTACCATTGATCAATATAAGCTAAAAAAGTTGTCCTTGTGTTTCAGTTATGAATATAATAATTGATTTTAAATTTTGGGTTAAATTGTAGGGGGCGCCACCTATAGGGCCGAGTTTCACATTCGTTGCCGGAGCTAGGACAAAGGACCCAAGCTCAAAATAACCCTAAGACCTTGCTTTATATGAATCCAGTGAGAAACTTAGTGCACAAAAAGTTTTTTAATATTTTGCTCAGCTGCTGACCTAATGTTAAAACTAAACAATTCGTTTTCAGAAATGTCGGAGACAAAGGGGGCAAGTGTGAAACTTGTAACAGTCCAAAGATTCAAGTTTATCCCAAATTTATCACCATTTTCTCTGGCATTGGAAACATTTATGAGACTGGCAAATATACAATATGAAGTAAGTATAGTCGATTTTCAAACCAAGGGAAATAACCACAACTTATTCATTGAACGAGATGAAGTGCACAGAGTTTAATTGACTTTTTTTCATTTATTTATTTATTTGTCATACACTTTTTAAACAGTGGCAATATGGAAAATTCCCAATGCGACAGTAGTATATCAAATTACATCAGATGAGTGAAATAATATGTTAAATTATACATGTGTTACAAGTTAAAAATATTGTTACTAATAATCAGTTAACATTTTTACACACTAAGAAACCTGGTCAAAACTGCATCTCCCAGGCACCCGAGGCACCCAAGGAAATTTTTACGACAACTTACATTTCGAAACTGAAAGTTATGCAAATTGTGATTAAAAAAGTTAGCATTTTAAAAAGGTGATGTTTTTGGCCCACCCTGTAGTAAAATGTATTTTATCGTACAAGAAAAACACCACACTTAAATTTCTAGTCTCACATACGTTGTATTAATAAACTGGAAAAAACTTGTCAAAAATTCCATTTCTCAAGTTGTTATAAAGAAAATTAAACATCATTTGAAAAATAAAACTGGTCGTGTTTTACCCGTTGTATTTGTTACGCAGAATATGTCATATACTGTATTCATGGTCGCGCGGTATTTGCGATACATAAGTGTTATGCACTGGGATGTTTTGGAAATGGGGTTTATCCAGAGAGATATGTATATCTACCGAAGGTAGATGTGCATATCCAACTGCTTTATCCTTATACCCAGTAGAGTTTTTTAATTTCTTTTTTATTTTTGTCAATTCTTTTCTAAAGGAGTGGTATCAAAATTTTCTTTGTATAACTATAATATTGGGATGTCTAAGAAAATGTTGTATAAGGTGTCCCAAAAAACACATAGACCGTAAGAAAGTTAAATAACTCGGCCAATTTTGCATATTTTGCCTTGAAATTTCAGAATTATTTAGATCATTCAATGTGAAATTTGTTGTGAAAGTTTGATAATAATTGAGTCAAAATCTACAATCCTTACAAAACATGCCCCAAATGTGCACCTCTCCTCTCTATGCACAATTCAATCCGGCGAACAAAGTTGTTGATGATCTTCCTCTACACATATCTTTCTGAATGGACAGGTTTATTCCAAGAACAATGCATTGGAACTGGGGCTTACAACCTCCTGATGAAATGTTACAGCATTCATTGCATTCTGAACAATGCATTGCCTGGGTGGCAATGAGGAAAAATGGAATCATCAGTCCTTTTTGGTTCGAAGGTGACTGGGGACATGCTTTCACCATGAACAAGGACCAGTAAGTTCTCGCTACGTTTTGGAGGTCACTAAGCACCAGAAGGGACATCTAAGGAGATAAGCAGTGATTTTAATAAGCCAATACCACCCTAACACTGCAAATGATATGCTAAAATGGTTTAGGCAATGCTTTGGTGGTCAGCTCATCAGTCGCAGAACGCAAACCATATGGGGAGCTCATTTGCCAGATCTAAATCCCCCAGATTTTTATCTTTGGGGATTTCTCAAAACCAATGTGTATACTGAAAGGCCTCTAACAATCTTAAGAGGGCAATAACTACCCCAATATGTACCATCCACATTGATGTGTATAGGTTAGGGTCATTAACAACTTGGTTCACAGTATTTGTTTGTGTATAGAGAGGAGCAGTGCCCACTTTGAGCTTGTTTTGTAAAGTACTGTATACGTAGTTTTTGACACAATTGACAGATTATCATCAAACGTCCAGAACAAAATTCACATTGAATGAACTAAATAATTCTAAAATTGGCCGAATTATTCAACTATCTTACGGTCCTGTTTTTTATATGCTATTTTGTTTAAACAATGTTAGGTTAGACATTTCATTTCATTCTCAAGAATTGGTAGAAAATTAGCAAAAAACAATTGCACTAAAAACAAGAAATGTTAACAAAAACAATTATAGAAAATAGAAAAATAATTTTTCCATGAAATTGTTACCAATCAGTCAACATTACATAAAGGACCGTGTTTTTTTACAAAATGTTTTCAATAATTGGTTTTAAAAGAGAAAAACATTGTTGAATTCAGTTTACCATATCGATACCTATCCTTTCTTCCATTTTTTTTTACATTTTTTCAATTTTTTTTACATTTTTTCAAATTGTTTTTCAAAGCGGGAAAATCGAACTCCCGTGCAGTGATATATCACTGCGGCGGGCAGGTGTCTCACCGTAAGCATGGTAACATCGTAATAAACAACTGACGTGATTGGTTCTAGTCCCATGCTCAGGTCGCGTGATTGTAAAATTTAGACAATTTCATTGGTTGAATTGCGCGTATTAACTAATAAACAACACGTGCGGTAAACTTTTATCAACACAACTTTTACTCAGAATTCCTTCCGCGGGGATTTGCTCTTATATTTCATTGATTTTGGAATATTTTGACAAAAATAATTATTGGTGAACATAAAAGAACATATATTTTATAAGTTGTGTGAAAAACAAGTACATCTGTGACAAAAAGGGGGACTATCTTCCCCAAATATTGGGGATTCCATAATCTGCCCGCCGCAGTGTCTATACCGAGACACTGCATAGGAGTTCGCGGGAAAATATGCCCTTTAGCGGCAGATATAGAGGTTCTGGATATTAAAACCTCAAAATCAGGATGCGGGATATAACTTATCTCCCTAAAACTCTACTCGGCATAGGATAAGGGTGAATATGCCATACTCACTACGGTATATGGCATATTCCGCAGTATGGTATACAAGGTCGTTCAATAATTTCACGGAAAATGCTCTCATCTCAAAGATTTTTGATTTTTTTTCTCATGAAATTTTCATATAATGTATAAAAATATTTAGCCAAATTCTAAATTTTTTAACGCAACCGGTCACACTGCTAATATTGTACAGGAACCATTACACAACTGACAAAATAGATGGCAAAGCTGGCAGTTCCATACTCTCTAGATGAGACAGTCCTTGATTTTGCTGTTTTCAACAGAACGAAGGATCAACTACAAGGGGCATCATAGAACAATGCAACAACTTTCGACTGCAGTCCAGTGCAGCCCTTCAAACGAGTTTTCCAGATGGCTTCATAGCACCGTATCGTCAGTGGGTTGAATGCCGGCTACTGTGTATTAAACATAAGGGAGAATATTTCGAACTCCTTATATATGGGACAATAGTTGTGACTTTTATATTAAGTTATATCATGTACACGTAGAAAGCAGAGAAGAGGAATCACATGTGATACACTCATAAATTGCCTACTATTTCCTATTTATACCTACCAATTAAATTAAAGATGCTTAATGAATCAATGACAAAATATTTTTTACACATTATGTGAAAATTCCATGAGAAAATATCAAAAAAATTTGAAATGAGGCCATTTTCCGTGAACTTATTGAACCACACGAGGCCTCATCATCAGTTGGTCGCAAAAATTTTGCGTTGCGTGATTTTATCAGTTGAGCACAATCGCAGACGCAAAGCAAACTCAAAACAATAGAAACAAAGAAGTGAACACAAGTTTAAAGTGTAGTCTGGCGGGAAGTACAAATCGTCAAATTCTAAATTCACCTTCCTTAAAGATCGGTCCTTCATTGATTTTATAGCAGCTTATTTAATGCATTGAATTACTCTTGGGGACAACGATGACACAATATCACGCGCACCGATCATAATTGTCTGTTCAAATTTTCCATTTTATACCCTCGGTTCAACTTAGACGTATTCCAACCGAACGCATGGTTTCTTGATAATGTCATTCACTGCAGGACTTTTACGCAGGTTGAATTCACAAAAACAGTCACTATCAACAAAGAAACTGGACAAGTACCGTTTGTCATTGTGAATGGAGTGCAAGTGAATGACTCACAAAAGATTATGAGGTTAGGATTATAGTATCGTGGTAGTTAATAGAAATTTACAAAATAGGCTTGATTTTAGATTTTTATCTAAGTTGATAGAGTTGTGATTTGACCTTTAGTCATTTACTAGTTTCACATACTCAAAGGAAGAAAAAAGAATAATCACATTGAAACATGTTACTCACACACTTGCTCAAATATGACACAAAGTTTGATTTGCTCTAATATTTAACCCTACTATCACACCAAACTAGTTCTCACTACGTTCTCGAAAACGGGCTTCAACTGTGTACGAACGGACTGGACGTACTAAGAACCGTTTGGGATCTATTTACAAACTTCATCGAACGTACTCGAACGGGTAGGTCCTCTAGAACTTAGACAATGCTCAAAATGTTCTCGTGGTCGTCACGTTCTACAATTAGAACGAGTGACAACGTACTAACGACGAGCTGGACGTACTACGAACGGAACCGTCGTACTTCAATCCTACTAGGGACGTTTTAACAACGAGTTGAACTGTCTGAGGACGTGTTGAGAACGAGGTAGAACTCATTGCAAACGGGTTTAAACTGATTAAGAACGTATTTAACACTGCTTATGAACGAGTTAGCAAAAATGTAGCTATCACACCAAACAAGTTGCCACTGCGTTCTTCAAAACTGGTTCTAAACTATGTGCGAACGGAATGAACGTAGCTGCAACTTTCTAAGGTCTATTTACGAACTTTATGAACGTTCTCAGACGGGAATGTGATTTTAGAATTTTGAATCGATTCAAAATTCGATTGCGACCATACCGTTCTGTTATCAGGTCATGATGACCTTCTAGACTAAGGGACGCGTTCTACGGCGTTGCACACCGACGTGGTGCGACCTGAACGAACTGCGAACGAGATGGACGTATTGAAGACTGTTTAAGAACGAAGAAGCTAATTATTTCAGACATATTTCCCGACCACAGCCAGATTGAGCCCGTTTTACGACGTTTTTGTAGGACTGGCAAGAACGGGTAAGAACTAGTTTGGTGTGATAGGGGGGTTACCAAGAAAAAAATAACTCACATAGAAAAAAGCATATGAAGTTCAGAGAACATAAGACATGCATGCACATGTTAAACAAAGTGCATGTTTTGAATTACTGTTGATTTAAAAGATGGCGACACTTCTATAAAATGAATGTATCATGTAATACAAACAACTTTGCCATCTTTCAATGAAATTGATAAGAACTTGATATACGTATAAAGCTTGACAGATCGAAAATATTTTTTGATAATTCATTGTAAGCTTTGATGATGTGGTCCGCTTGCGCTGTTGTTGGTGTCAAATGAAAGATAAGGTTCTTATCAATACATCGGACATACTATGAAATTTAAATGTAAGTCTTCATTTTGCCCAAAAATGTCATCTTGCTTCATCAAGCTTCGGACCTTTCCTAGAACGTAGTGATTGAGCGTGGGAACCGACGATGCAAAAATCTTGAAAATTCACAAAGTGGGCTTTTAAAGTTCATGTCTGACTGCTTGGGTGACACTAGAGAAGTATCACAAAAATCTCTTTAAACCACTTTAAACTGGTATACAATTTGAATTAATTTTTATATTAGAAATAGAAAAAATGAGGGCTAGTAAGCTATTTCATCATGTATAAGGTCATTTAATTTTGACCATACCCATTACATTGTGATCCTCGTTATCTAAATGATATTGGAACTAATAAAACTGACTAGAGGTCAAAACAGAACTCCGTTATCTTAGTTGAAGAGGGTTAAAAAATCCAGTTTAAAATAAAATGATGCAAAGATCCGTTTTGATAAGTTATATATTACCATTTGAAATCGGTATTTTTTCAGCCATCTCAGTGAGGTATTTGATGTCGACCTTAACAGTGAATTAAACCCAATAGAGAAGACCATTTCCCATGCGTTTGTCAGAATGATGAATGAATTCACAAGCTGGTAAGTAATATAATATATGAAGGTAGTTACACATCTAAACATCCGATGTGATTTAAGGCCTCTGTATGTGCAACTACCTTGATCGCTCATATGCAAATGCCTGTAGAATGATTCAATCATGGCTATTGAACATGTTTTATTCCCGCATCTTGCTTTGTAGGACATACTTTTACTGGCGATATGTTGACCACCCAGAGTTAATTTTTCCTGATATCATGGATTCTCCTGAATCATTTGGGATAAGTCCAGATGATCCAGACAAAAAACAAAATTGGATTGATGCTGCGCGAAAGAAGGTATCACGACTTGAGTATTTATGTGTATTCCACAGTTAGCATGGTATTCATAGGATAACATGTCAAAATAAAGACGGTATTTTTGAAATCAGTGGTAAAATATGATATTTTTGACAAATTTTCACTTAACCAATTTTCATACTTGAGTGGGTTTGGGGTAGATATCACCCGGGAATATATATTATATCTGAGGAGCGGGCAGGATATATTGTATATGTCCCGCTCTAGGCCAAATGCGGGCAGATATAATATATCCATCCCACTCCCGGGAATTTTTTCAAAAGTTTAAAAAAGTTTAAAAAATTTTAAAATTTAAATTTCAGAAGTTTAAAATTTTTCAAAAAGTTTAAATGTTACAATTTCATTGTATTGAACTGAAGGAATATTAAGAAAATGTTAAATATAAATTGTGCTTTTACAGTATAGGCCTATCTTGTCATTTGAAAAAAGGTGGTAAAGGTTTTATCTACCCCAAACCCACTCAAGTATGAGATACACCAGTTATGTACGGTCGGTTTTGGATACAGTGTTTATCCCGCGGGAAATATGTTTTATTCCCTGCGGTCCCTCGTGAGATATACATATTTCCCTTGGGATAAACCCTGTATCCAAAACCTCCCAGTACATAACCCTTATATATACAGTTGCTCGAACAGACCCACAACCAAGGAGTAGGTAGAAAGTCAAAGGAGGAGATATACAAAATGGGTATGGATGACTTGAGAGGTCTATCTGTGTATCTCGGAGAAAAACCATTCATGTTTGGAGATAAAGCCAGTGTTGTAAGTTACGAACATAAGCAAGGATTTTTTATGATCACAAGCTTCCCAGTGAAGGATGTCCTTCGCCAATATTCAAATATGAAAAGTATTGTAATCACTGGTGATCCACTCGATTACGCTGGTTACCAAAACGATTCGTTTTGGTAACAAAATGTCGGAACGTCGAAGGTGCGATTTTTCTTTTTTACTTATTTCACACGTTGTAGGCAGAATCCCCGCGACGTTTTTTCTCACAAACTTATATCAGTATCATATGTTTTAGAAAATGTACATGTTTGCGAAAAATAGCTCAGAAGACAACACAATCGTCGATTTAATGCCTCACTTAGGTTACATAAACGCTTTGGGTTAAAAGTGCAGATCTGAACCGTTTTTCGAAAAACCGTTTATGTAACTTAAGTGAGGCATTAAATCGACGATTCTGTTGTCTTCTGAACTATTTGTTCACAAATATGTTAATTTCTTTAAGCATATGATACCGATACACGTTTGTGTTAATAATGTCGTGGGAATTCTGCCTACAACATGTGAATGTGGATCACCAGTGGTAATTACCATGGATTTTCAAATAAAAGCATATAATAGTTTACGTATTTTATCCTAAATTTCATCAGGGTCGGTCAAAACGTCTATATTTTTTTTATTTTGATATACATTTTCAACTTCTATTTCTCTTCAGGATCAAGATAAAATATATGCATACACGGCATCAAATTTTGGTCACATTGAAGTCATAACAGTGAAATTAAAAAAAATAAGCATTCAAAGGACCACATTGCAACAGAATATGGAAAAATAGAAACATATTGCCCACCCCAACGTTTGTATATTTCTGATAATTCGGTATAATGTGCAGTAAAGTTGTGGCAGTCATGTTATATTTGGAAGAAATTAGGGTTACATGTGTTTTTAATTGTCCATAATGTTGCAATGTGGTGTTGCAATCGCTTACTGTAATATTTAGATTCAAAGTTGTTAATTAAGGAAGTATAAACAATTGAAAGTAAGATCTAATTAAATGTTCTGAAATAAAAGACCTGTCAATTCAAGTATTCACCCAAATGCGACTGATAAAACCCAGACTCAAAATTCATCCAACATCCAACGTTTCACCGCTGATATTGAAAGTGAAATTTCTTATATTTTTCAGGTTGACTGTGTTTTGTTTGGCCACCTTTGCCAGATTGTCTATCTCCCTTTACCAACGATGCCACATAAGATAATGGTTGAAAATGAGTGCAAGAATCTAGTGGCATTCTGTGATCGCATGAAAGCATTGGCATGGCCTGATTGGGACAAATTGACCAACTAAAACATTTGTCATTATGTACTCGTATATATCTAATATACGTTTAATATACATATATAGCCTGGTTAAAATAAATACTTCATGTCTGCTGAAAAAAAAGTACTGTATTTTTAGCGTTTTGCATTATAAGAGTATGGATACTTCTTTTAGTCAGGTATCTAAATAAATGCGAAGAAAAACAGAAAATAGCGGCTTTTTATAATAGGATCGCAAGTAACGAAAATCTCAGAAGGGTGTTAAAGTGTAACCAAATATGGTAAATATAAATTGTTAGTATTCATTTTTTTTATCTCGATCCCAGATGGTAGCCTCCAAATATAACAGTTTATAGTCAGTTATTCTATGATAGAGAGAAGGTGGTATACTTTAAAGAAACATAAGATGGGTATGATATAACATGAATTTAACTTTATATTTCTATATAATGCTATAAAATCTTATACTCAGAAACATAGCATAGAAGTGATCTGTGTTAAAATAAACACACAGTTTCACTTGTAAAGCAACCAATGACGTAAGCAAACAAAAAAACGATACATTGAAATACCTTGCGACAAGCATTTACTTATTTCCAGCAGATCGTCACTTGAACGTTAACATTTGTCATTAATGACATAATGATATAGAGAATATGTTATGCCATTGATACTCTAAATTAGGTTATCCTAATACAACAATGAAAATATACACGTTTTCTTCAAGAAACGAACAAAAATGAGAGTTCTTCAGTATTCACAGGTCAGTATCAAAAAAAGGTAGCGGCCATCACAGTCTCTCGAAATGGCGGACGATTGATGTCGATTTCGATATTTTTAATCATTGAATCGAACTACTTTGCCGTGGACATCTGAAGCTTTGATATTTGAAATTACTTGAAATTCCGCAAGCCCATTTCACCTTTGGACACTACGATCAAACGATAGCTTCTCCCGTTTAGGGCACGGTAATGTGAATTCTTCATTCGCTATCATGTAATTCACGTTACCGTACCCTAAGCGATAGAATGTACCATTACATCGTGGCGTCTTTGGCGTTTTTGTGTCAAACAGGCTTCATATGGTCAACTTTTCAAAACCGAATGTCCACAACAAAGAAGTTTAATTCAATGAAAACTGATAATATCGAAATCACCACTGCACCTACCGCCCTCCATTTTGAAAGTAACCTTCTCCTGATACTGATGGTATTATGCTGTCATCGTCAATCGTTGCTCATACTGTAACATAACTGTACTCTATTTCCCAAGTTAACATGTCCCCGCTTTGCTGAGCGCTCTGAATTCATTTTAATGAATGGAACCTTTTCAAATACTTTTTTAACCGACAGACTCGACCCTAAAATTTTTACTTTATTCATTGATTATTTAGGAGTTGATCTACTCCTTTATACATCAATATTTGATCATCTTTATATTAAACGACCACATTCTCTAGACTGGAATACGTTTCCTGAAATTTTAAAATGAAATATTTTAGAACCATATTTTTCATATTTCCGAAGAATTAACGTTTTGTTATTGTAATAATATTCAGTAGAAAGTATTCAGCTTTTTAACAGCAGTACCCGATATTTGATATGATAGAGCAACGTTGTATATTTGTTTTATGTCATGTAATAGAGAGTTTAAGATTGTAATGTTTTTCACAACGGTGTTTTCACGTTGGTGTCAACAAGAATCATTATATACCGTGTCTGTTGAATACAATGCTGGCAATTTTGATTTCGATACACAGTAGAATTATTTTTGAACAAGATGATGTTTGTAATGCATGTTTTAGCTCCAAATATCTTACGAAATGAGCTCGTTTAAAATATATATTAGAAAATCAGCTATAGAACTATTAATGGCATATTATTCCATGCTGGATTGCCATGCCATACCATGCCATACTTAAACTCTCTAATACATTGTTTAAACGTGTACGTCATTAATGCAACACGATGGAACAAAATAGAATGCAATTGCATAATACTATATATGGTCTACAATAGTTTATGGTCTAAAAATAGTTTATATTACAAAAAAATAAAAAATACAATTGTTGAAATTATCCTTCTTATATCAGACGGGAAATGATAAAAGTCCAGATCCCATTTTTTATAAATGGTGATAGTTCAGAAAAATCGTGAATAGAAATAGTAATACCATCAAACCCAAATGCAGTATATTAATTCGCTTAAAAATGTTTGTTTTAACTTTAATAAAATAAATGTAGCCAAGTTAATGTTTTACACCGGCAAGCTGATAGTATTGGTGGCCTTACGGACCAATGCATTTTGACTATCACAGTGAACTTTATATATTTAAATAATTAAGTCAGTATATAATAGATTGAGAAAATTATGTGTTTACGAGCAACAAAACATGAAAATGACATATTTCCAACCTATTAAGAGCTATTCATTTCCAAAACTCCACCTTGGATCCCTATACTTTCATTTCAAAGTCTAGTCTGCATTCTGCATATAATCATAAAATTACAAATGTGTTAGGAAAAATATTTTCAAATATTCAATTCTACGACATCGAAACTTGAAATGTAGGTCTAAACACCATCAAACTCATGGTGGCAGCTGGTTTTCAAATATCACGAGTATCAGTAGTACAGCGGGCAAAAGTTTAAGTCTCAGCTTCTACAATAAGATGGCGTTTATTGCTAAACTGAATGATGTCCGAGAACAACTTAGTCTCCTCTTTCCTTTAAGCCTATATATCTTATAGATTGCTTCCGCAAAAGTTATAACCTGAAAACGGGTCTATACTTCATATCGAATGAATCGCAACATTGATGTATTTTCTCATTCTGGGTTTAACTTGTTGAAAACTTCGCCATCTTGCATTGTGCATATTCACTGATCCACGTGTGGTAAATCAATTATCAACATTACTCAACATTTTTTCGATGTGGGTCCTATTTTTATAGAATGGTAAAATAAATCGGACTAATTTTGATTTTAAATTTGCCCGCCGCGGTGTTTACGCCGAGAAAATGCCATGGCGTTTGGGTTAACATAATTGAATGATACTACATATCCAGTTACTTTCGGATCGATCTTTGTGTTCTATCTGCCTATGTGTTGATTTTTCTCCTAAGGCGTTTATATTTGTAATATATCGATTCTTAAGCCATGGAGTTTGTTATAGAGTTGTTGCATCCTGTAGTTTGCGCCTCTAGTCAGAAATATTGAATTCCCATTGTCTAACTGAATTGATATGTTTTCTTGTTTTCTTAGAAAATGGCCATCGGTTCAAAGCTCTATAAAAATACTTTTATTTACTGCTCAAATCTAAGGTTTCATTTTTGTTTAGAAACCTTCGCCCGTTTCTTCTTTTTAACTTTTTGGCCTTCTTTCTCTATAACTACTTTATCGTCACACATATTATTTTCCTTCTTTGGTTTTCCCTTTTTTCTTTTCTTTTCTTTGGTAGGTGGCTGGGGCGTGGTAACCTCTTCCTCTTTATCATCCGGCTCCTCACAACTACTCTCAGATTCACCAGTTTCTATATCCTGTTGGTTTTTTCGTTTCTCTCGTTCATTAATTTGGCGCTTGGACTCCGCTTCTTTCTGCTCTAACTTTCTCCGCTCAACTCGTTCTTTCATCAATCGTTTCTGACGTTCCATTTCGTTCTGAGCTTTCTTGTTGACATCATTTAGGTCGCTCAGTAAACGCTCGCTCTCTTTTTGATGCAGTTGCATTTCATTCTGAAAATATTAAGAGTATGAATGTTTAAACAGGAACTTATGAAGCGTACATATTACTTCGGGTCTCTTAATCAACTTCAACTTAAAAGCATATAAAACATTTGGACATTGCAGACAACTTACATATTACTAATGTTACATAAAACAAGTTAATGTGGAAAGTTTAACATTGAAAATTAAACAAGTTCAACTGCAATTTAGAGGTCCATATTTGTTTCAATCTTTAGAAACCTTTAACATTGTGCCCTTTACCTCTGAGTTGCTTTAATTGATTTTCATTAATTGTTAAATAGCACTATTCAAACCAATTAAAGTATGTTTCAAATGGAAACCCCATTAAAGTTTCTATTATTCGGTAACCCAATTTCGATATCAATATAGCGAACTTTTGCTTTGATCGATCTTCTCTTTAGAGACAAATATATTTTAGAAATGTCAAAAGACATATACTAGTTATACGATACTTTTACCTTATAGTGTATTTTTAAAAGGAAGATTTTTTAACCATTTCGATTTTTCCATGGTAATAAAATATTAACCGAATATCAAATTTCAAATTTATTTCAGATTCGTAATCCAGTGAAAAGTTACCATGCTTATTTCAATTCAAATACTAATATCGTTGAATTCTCAAAATTTTTAAGATCAAGAGCATTTTCTTGTCTATCATTAAACAAGTTCGAGTTAAGGATGTTCCCTGGTCAGATAGGAAAATATTCAATAGTATTTAACTTTTTCTCAAAAATGGTTTTCTGGGATTCTCACGGGCAACAAAGAATATTAAAACTTTAAAAACCATATGTTAGTGTGCTTTTTTCTGAGCAAGAGGCCTCTAAAGTGTCAATATTTGACAAAAGTGGGCGTGGCACTTTCTCATTGAAACCCATGTTAAAAATCAGGTTTTCACCCCAAAACACACTTTTGAATATTTAACTTTTTCTTAAACTCACAGAAACACTTAGTTATGCTATGTACTTCACATTTTGAAAAGAAAAATTAGGGGTTGGTGTTCATCGTTTTCAACTTCGTCCAGGGAACATCCTTAAAACAAAAATATGGAAGTGCGGCAATCGCTTAAACAAATTTAATGACCTCGACTTTGGCCTTGAATTTTGATCTTCAAAATATTGATTCTAAATATCATTTTTTGTTTTCTCGTTAATTTATAAAATCACTAAAACGCTGAAATCGCTAAAATAAAAGACCCAATCTTGTTGTTTAACATTTTTATATCGCTTTAACATTGTGATATTGATTGATAATGATTGCATTGATTGATAATGATTGCATTGAATGATAATGATTGCATTGAATGAAAATGATTGCATGTTTTAGTCACTGCGTATCTAGCTTGTAAAAGTATCTCACGTGATTTTATTAATTATACAGCCCTGCGAAACATCATGCCTGGTAAAAACGACATAGACATGTAGAGTATACCCTAATCAATCAATGTGGAAGATGAAGTGATCAATAATGGTGTTTATGGGTAATTTCGATCATTCTGGACATGGGTGAGGATCATCCTGTTAAAGCATGACATCTCATTTTCGTATCACCCATTAGATCATGTTTCTATTGAATCAGAAAGACGGTATTGCATGTTTTCAAATAAACTCAGACATGTAAAATCCCATTATAGTTAGAGTGAAATGAAACGCAATCCCATAGCTAAGATGATATCAAAATCGTGTCATTTTATATCTGAAAAAAACAATGAAAAATAATGATTTGCATTATTTCATGGACAACTCCCATGCATTGATTTGATTTCATTAAAGGAATATTCCTTGCCAAACCATCTCTCTCCTCATATGGTAGCTATGACCATATATATGCTTGCCATGTTTAGCAAAACACGCAAAAATGTTTTGATATGGTCAAATTTGATCACTTAGAAATGTGATGCTCAATTCCAGTAAGCTGCCATCTTTTAAAATTTCATTCAGGAAGTGATGTCATCGACTCTCAACTTTGCATATAGCATTAGGTGAGGATGTATTAAGAATTACAAAACCATCTAAATATTCTTTTTCATTTTTGTATCCTTTTTAATCCTTCTGAAAATCTCTTCTTTTATTCTAAGTTGACAAGCCCTGAAAATATTTTTGCACAGAAAGTAATGATCACTTGTCTAGAAGTGATTTTGTGCTACTTTCCTATACTGTTATGGGCAAGGTAATAGAAGTTGAGAGTTGATGACATCACTTCCTGCAAGAAATCTTAAAAGATGGCAGCTCACTGGAAATAAGCACTAGATTTTTAAATGATCAATATTGACCATATTAAAGCATTTTCCCATGTTTTGCTAAATATGGAAACTATATATATAATTATAGCTACCATATCAAGAGAGAAAGGGTCTGGCAAGGAATATTCCTTTAATGATGAAAACATACAGAAATACATTTTCTATCGCTAAATCCATTATGAACTTAATGCTTCAGTTTCGCAATCGTCGTACTTTGCATTTGATTTGACATGAAATACTCTGAAACAGCATGTGAAATTGCATGTGAAAAAGTAACGTTTGACAGTTGCGCATGCGCCATTTAATTACCATCTAATTGGATTGGTATATGATTGCATTATATATTGTCGTAGATCAAACTTGACCATATTCATGATTCGTGGTTAGCTGCTATACTATGGTTTGACCAGGGACTATTTCATCTATCGATTCACTTGGCTGGGGTTTCAACTTTTCAATCTTCGATTCAAACAACCAGAAATGATTTATGGCACATTTGTTTTCATTATCATAATCTCATCACTGGATTATAAACATCTACTCATCCAATTCATCATTATAAATGTCTACTAGCTCTTCTGGATGAATGACATTTGGATTAATATCAGGATCTCAAGCTCAATTCTTTTATGATCCATATATTTGCATACTGATCCGAACTGATGACATTACAATACATATTGAATAACAGATGGTATGATATGATATGATATGATATGATATAATATGATATGGTGTGATGTGATAGGAAGAAGACATGTGTCTATCTCCGCATTTTTCTAAAAGGTCCAACACTTCTGAATTTATTTCAGGATATCTACAATCTGACAAAACAGTTAAAGTGGACGTTTATTTGATCAGACGTATCAATTCTCTTATAAAGATGTCAAAGAATTGGCATGATTTGAAATGATCGCTTACACTCTATCCTTTCAACTTGACTTGAATCTAGTAAAATCTGTTATTGTTGTACTCCAATGATCTGTATTTTACATTTAGTCAAACACGAAGCAAACAGACCTTGGCCGAGAACTAAAGTCAAGTGTTCCCAGTTCTGAAACATCCAATGTTTATCTTCCATTTTGATCAAGTGTCTCAAATGGGTTACCTTACCCTTTCTCACAAGTGGTGTCACATCCTGAGAAACAATGAAGTCCAATAAATATTTATATGTCATTGATTCACTAATGGGTGTTGGAACTTTTTTGTGTATATAACACGTCTGCTGTTTTACAGACACCAAGGGTAACTATGGCTGAGTCAGCCATTTTGAATAAAGATATAATTCAAATATGAGGCTCATTTATTAATGCTCGCGAGGGGATTAAAACCAACGGGCAGTGTTTCAATTAAAACGAATACTCAAATTGTTGTAAGAGTCTCAAAACATTAAACAATATCATTGGCTACGAGAGTAATTTGTACCAACATCCACATTCAGAAATACTGAAAATGACTTTCCCAACTATGTTACTATTTCTGTATTTGCAATTTGAATCTACCTCAATGAGATTGGGGAAAATAGAAATTAAGCGGAAAGTACATGTTTTTAAAGGGATGAAGATATTTTATTGAAAGTTTATGATCTTCTTCTAGCATCGTATGATGTGAAAACATGAGGTATTAATCTCCTTCAAGTGAACAATTGAATAGTTTCCAAAATACACCAAAATCAAACTCGAATATGACTGAATGAAGTGCACGTGTTTCCATGCCTTTGGGTCTCGTCAAATTGGACAACTTGGCCGAAGATGTAAAGTAACTTATTTTCATAAATACCTTGTAAGATGCAGCAATCCCAGAATTATCTAGCGATGAACTGAGAGATGGTGCGCTTTCAGACTCGCAGTGCACTTCATGATCTTCCATGATTGTATCTGAGATTGTGACGACACCATGCTCAGGTTTCCCATGACTCACTCGATGGTGCCTGCTAGATTGATTCCCATATGGAGGTCTTTTGACAGATTGCATCTCCTTCGAATTGTGAAGCTTCTGATATTTAAAAGTCTCTTTCGTTTGCGGCTGGATGTTAAGATTGTTGAGATTTTTATTGTTTATTTTCGATTTATCAGGAGTTTCAGGAAATCCATTGATCAGTTTAATAACGGGGGTGTCTCCACCTTCTCTCGGTGTATCATTTGTGTCTACGCTGTGCTCACTTGCTCCACGTCTAAGCTTTTTACGTTTCGGTTTTTTACCTTTTGGGAGTTTTATTCTGCTTTGGGCGTGGGAATAATACAAAGTAAAGTTGTTAACTACGATTGGGACTGTAAAAGCGATGGTGAGTACTCCGCACCATACACACATTGACCCGATAACGTAGCCAAGGGTCTCCTCTGGGTATATGTCCCCGTAACCGACGGTCGTCATAGTGACAAGCGCCCACCAGAATCCGAGAGGAATATTTCCAAAATTGTTTGGCTCAACAATATAAATCAAACTGGCAAAAATCAGCACTCCAACGAATAGAAACATTACCATCAACATCAATTCCTTAGTGCTAACCTTGATAGTGTATGCTAGGATTTTAAAAGCAGAATAATGTTTAGCAAGTTTGAATATTCTGAGCATACGTATGATTCTCGCAGCTAGAACGGCTTTAACAGCACTTGCAGCGATGCCCCCGGTCACATCGCCGCTATTAGCCAGCACAATACTTGTATAATGGGGCAACAGGCAAAGTATGTCTATCATGTTTAAGAGATCTTTCAAAAATATCAACTTTTTGGGGGCAAGGGCGAAGCGCAATATGACTTCAATTGTAAAAAATCCAACACAGACGTAATCTACATACTCCATGGCAGGGTGGGGTTTATATCCTGGAATGATTGGAGATTTAGCAGGTGGGCCAGAAGAATCACTGCAGCAGCATGACTGTCCTACTGACGTAGTGTACATTGTGGACGGAGTGGACGCAATCGTTGCATTGTAGTTTTCATCGACAACACGCATCAATGGATGTGTCTCCATAACGAAAACCCCAATGGACAAGACAACGAAGAACATCGATATCACAGCATATGCCTGAAAACAGCAATATAGAACTTAAGGTGGTTTTACACCCACAGGTCTAAAATCAAATGCCATTACATAATACTATTATATTATCAATATCATTATATGTATTATTATCGATCAAAAGGTTGATGTCAACGACTTCGTTTTAGCTAGATCCATATCGATCTCCCATCAGGGGTATCGGAGAGTAGGTGACTGTATTAAGACATGTATTATCTCCAAAACTGAAGAACTGAATCTTTTCATTTTGCACATTAGATATTAATTAGCATATTAAAGGTTATTGAACCTCACACGAACATTAGCTAAGGTTGTAAACTATAATGCTTTTAAATCGCAAAAAGTATTTTATTGATTAATTATATAGATTTTACAACTTTAAATAACAAGTATTTAACCATGTTTCAGTCTCTCATAAGTCGAATACCGGCTAGGCTAAATGTTTTGTTTTTAGTATGTATTGTGAAATTTTATTCTAATAAACATGAGACATATATAAATTATAAAACTAAAACAAACATTAATTTTTGTTAATCATGAGAAAATAAAAATAGACCACAAACATGTTTTTTATAATTACATTTTGAAAAATACAATTGTCAATGTTTTTACATCTTTCACAAAGTTCCCGCCATGTATAGTAACTGAAGAAGTCCTATGAATGTAGGACGAAATATTTAACGTAAATTTTTTTTCAAATATGTCCGTGTTGGACGAACGTATTACTTCAATACGTCTATATCTTCTTAATGCCTTGGTCACATCTGCTATTTGTTATTTCTGTGAGGAGGTGAAAGGCAGTGTTTATGCCTCTTAATTCTTTGTTTTAATTATAATTTATATTTCATATACATTATATAGTGTGTCTCAAAAAAAATGTTACACTCACAAAAAGTTCAATATCTTTCATAATTTTGACTTTTCCCTAAAATATACTTTCAAATTCAAATTCAAAATCTGTCATTGATTGGCTCCACATGACAGCTTTTAGTGTCCCATGGTCAAATCTGACTTGCGCCAACTTCTAAGTGATTGGATGGACCAAATGACAAAAGAGGAACAGTTTCTTTAATATTTAACCTTCTTCTGAGTAGAAGCTTGGCCTTAAACTGGGTCATTGTGTAATTTTCCTATTTGTCTTACATTTGATCATTGGGTCTATCCACATAAACATGTGGTCCCCTCAACATGTTCTCCAAAGCAAATCTGAGGTACCCTTGCCCATGCGCACACGAATTGTAATATCACTCTGATTCTATCAATTATTTTGCAGAAGTTCATTTTGGACAGTTTGTGATGCTGTAAACTGCTTTCAGAGGCCCTTCAAAAACTCAAGGATGTAAAGTGGGATGACCTTCGGGGCCAATCCATTGGGTAACTCAATGCTATCTTCTGATTTCCAAAGAGTTTTACCAAACGATCTGCACAGGCCTTTGCACCATCCTGTTGCCATCATACATGACAAAATTGAACACTCTGACAATGAAATCTTGTATTTCTATCCAGGAAAGAAACAACTGGATCATTCACACAAAAAAGAATTGGTCACCACATGTCCAGCCACTGAGAAGTTGGCGCAAATCAGATTTCACATGCCTCTATAAAATCTGTCCTGTGCAGCCAATCTTGGACGGATTTTGAATCTGATGGTGTGAATTTATTCGAGAAAGACTGGTCTTATGGTATCTAAGTATATTGTAGGGGAAAAGTCAAAATCATGAAAGATATTGAACTTTTTGTAAGTGTAACATTTTTTTTGAGACACACTGTATTAAATATTCATTATTTTCATTGACAGTACAAGTTACAATATTTTTTTTTTTATTTATTTATTTTGACATACGCTTTTTTAACAGCGGCACACTATTATTAGGTGCGTCAGTATTTGTAATCTACATATATATTCTATAAGCACTAAAAATGTTTACATAAAATACTACAGTTTTCTAGGGTTAAAAAGTGTTGCTAAAAACATCTTCACATATTTATCAAACATATAAAAAATGTCATGCCCCCATTCCATAAAAACCTTATCACCAAGTAGTGTAAGTAACCTATCATGAATGTTCGAAGACAATAAACTGCTACTTAAAATGGGAGAAACATATTTCTCTACATCGTTGTAAAAGTCGGACCTGGCTTTGGCAAAATGGGGACACACCATTAATCTGTGTGATAGAGTATCTCTCAAATTAAGATTACACATTATACATATACCATCACTTTTGCCCCACTTTTCATAATTTGTCTCAAGGCAGAAATTATTCGATCTTGCTAGAAATTTCATTTTAGATCCATAAAAATCAAGGTCATTCTTAAGGTACCTTTCGGTGCGGTTATGGGTTTTAACCTCCTTATATATTTCAAGGGAGGGGTGTTCAGCTACCCTAGTGTGGAAATTATAAATGCTTTGGGATTGAGATATAGTTAAAAATGAGGGGTACCATTCGCTGTCATTCCGAAAAATAACATCATCTAAACCTTTATCTCTTAAAATATTCCGTGCATTTGATGCAAATTTCCAATATGATTCTTTACCGACTTTTAATAATTTTAGCAAATTCTGTAGGATTTTATGAGGGAGGGATGTAGTTGGTACATTAAAATTTAGGTAGTTCAAATAGTCAATTTGTCTTTTTTCAATCACCTCTGCTATCGGTTTCCAGCCTAAATCCCCCAATATAGATTCACTGGCGGGTTTACTTTTAATTTGAAAAATGGCTTGGGCGGCACCATATTGAAATGAGGTAATTTTGGCAAGGCTTGACTTTGGGAGTACCCAGGTCGGGCATCCATGCAGGATAGCAGGTGCCATCATAGAGTTGTAAATCGTACTTCCAAATTCAATGCGCTTGACATTACAATGTTTGGTTAAAGTAGAACTTAAATAATTTTTCATTTTCCTGGCCTTTTCATATAAATATTTCAGATGTGCAGTTTCTTTGAGACTTCTATTGAACATTACTCCAAGATATTTGTACTCATTTACCTCTGGCAGTCTCAAATTCCCTAATGACCATACCTTTTCCGAATCAAGTCTTTTCCCTATTATCATTATCTTAGACTTTTTTTCACTGAACTGAAATCCCCATTTAAGTCCAAAATTATTAGTGATTGTTAACATTGACTGGAGTTCTTTCTCAGATTGACCCATTAACACAATGTCATCGGCATAAAGAAGACAGGGGATTTTTTTATCTTCAAAGGGCAGACCAAAACTGGACATTCTTAAACTGTCTTCAAGGTCTGTCATTACTATGGAAAAAAGGGTCGGGGATAGAATACAACCTTGCTTCACTCCAGATGAGGAGTCAAACCAGTCAGTTTCATATTGTCCAAAGATGACCTTGTTTGAAGTGTTAGAGTATAGTGATTTCAAAATCCTCCAAGTTTTACCTTGGATTCCCTTTTCCCAAAGTTTTAGAAATAGCAAATCACGATCTAAAACGTCAAATGCCTTAGAAATGTCAATAAAAGCTAAATAGGATTTGAGTTTCTTATCTTTACGAAGGCTACATAGTCCTTTAAGGGAAAAGATATGATTTTCTAATATTTTGCCTTTTTGAAATGCGCCTTGAAGGTCGCCTAAAAGATTGTTTTCACGAAGAAAGTCCATTATCTGGTTTTCCAACAGACTCGAGAATAATTTATACATATTGGATGTAATCGTTATTCCACGATAATTATTGAAAACTTCTGGATCACCTTCCTTATGGAGGGGTTTGACAATACCTTGTTGCCAATCAAATGGAATTTTTTCAAACATTCTGATAGCATTAAAAAGATCTAAAATAGGCTGCGAGAGAACTTCTTTACCATTTTTCAAGAATTCATTGGGAATTTGATCTATACCGACTGCTTTTCCATTTGAAAGACCAGATATATGTTTTGATAAACTTGCTAGATCAAAAGTAATATGACTGAGTGCTCTATCACTTACAATGTTATCAAGCTCAATATTATTGAGGGTGTCTGAAGCTTGATTTGGGAGGGTTTCGGGGTTTTTACTTTTAGAACCAACATTTTTCCAATATTCTTTAAGTGTTTCGTTAACTTCTTTTGGGTCACATATAATATGGTTGGGGTCATTTGGGTCTTTCATTCTAATGGGGAAATTGCTCTTTGTATTGAATTTTTTCAGCGCTTTCCAATAACTTTTTGAAGATTTCGACTTATTACGGGCGTTGTTGGTAATTATTCTAATGTGATTCTTTATATGGTTTTCTTTAATTTTTGTTGCAACTTGATGTTTAAGATCTTGATAAATCTCCCAAAGTTCCTTAATAACAGTTGGGTCTGCTGATTTTGACTTTTGCCAAATTCTATGAAAACGGCTGGCCTCTTTCCTATTTTTAATCAATATGACGATTCAATTTGACAATTCTTACAAGTGAAAACTGTTGGAATAAAAACATGCCTGGCTTCATGTTAGCAAAACTTGAGTAAAAAGAGCAACATCATCAAATATACTATAAGTTATTGAATGACTTGAAGTGCAATACAGAATTCTGCTCGAGAAATTCTGTATTGGAACGAGACGAAGTCGAGTGCCAATACAGAATGTCCGAACTCCAATGCAGTGTCTCGGTATAGACACTGCGGCGGGCAGATTATGGAATCCCCAAAATTTGGGGAAGATAGTCCCCCTTTTTGTCACAGATGTACTTGATTTTCATACAACTTATAAAATATATGTTCTTTTATGTTCACCAATCATTATTTTGTCAAAACATTCCAAAATTATTGAAATATGAGAAGAAATCACCGCGGAAGGAATTCTGAGTAAAAGTTTTGTTGATAATAGTTTACCGCACGTGTTGTTTATTTGTTAATACACGCAATTCAACCAATGAAATTGTCTAAATTTTACAATCACGCGACCTGAGCATGGGACTAGAACCAATCACGTCAGTTGTTTATTACGAAGTTACCATGCTTACGATGAGATACCTGCCCGCCGCAGTGATATTATCACTGCACGGGAGTTCGCAGAATGTCGAGACAGA